CATAACAGCAAGTCCATTAACAGGTTCAGGTCATGATAAAATTCAGGAAGGTCTGCAACTTAGAGCATCTTCCTCTCCCATGACAGTATAACAACTGACAGGCTGGTTCTACTTGCTAATTAAGTTCTCTCCCTTTACCTTTTATGTCTAAGACTTACTTGGTAACCTTCAAAGATATACTGAGGGCAGTGGGAAATTATTAATGTCCTAGATCTAGGCGTTTGAGATTCTCCTGCTGGGGTCCTAGCTTTGAGTTCAACTGATATTGACTTAGTTCCTTAATCTCCTAATTAAAAGACAACTTCAAATAATGTTGCACAGCTCAAAGCTTCAGGAAGGACCCAGGGATAGACAGGCTTACTTGAGAAGAAAAAGTAAGGAAGGGCATTTCTCTTTGTGAATCAAAAGTTCAGACTGACCTCCAGTCAACAAAACAAGATGGAAGCTAGTACCAGGTATGAGTTATAGATCAAAAACCAGTTTCTGTTTACAAAGCATAAAAAAGACATTTCTGATTCTTTGTCTCTCTGAATCCTACCCCTACTGGATAATACTCAGCCTATCAGAGGGCAATTGATAATCAATTGTGACCTGAAAATAAGAAAACAGATTGTTTCTATGTAGAAACTTCTATTCCTTACCCAGTGATCTGTGGCCACAGTTTGTTTGTTTTTTATTAATGATTGTTAACCCATCAAGGAGAGTATGTTAGTTCAATCTTGCAAATGTTAAATTTGAGGTGTCTGTGGATAACCAGGAGGAAATGTCCAGAAAGTGCTTAGATGCATATGTAGGGAACTTAGGACTCAATGGGCTGCTGACATGTGTGTGGGAACCATAAGTATAAATGTAGTTGTGTTTGTGCATGGGACCACACAATATAGAGGTTGGCCTCCTCTATTAGAGCTTTATTCATCACTTCTACCATTTAGTCCAAGTTTTAGCTCCACTGTTCATTATACCAGGACAGAAAACCTCACACTTCTAAAGCTTTAGTCCTGTTGTGGTTTTGTCTGAATTGCTTTTACCTTCTTTCTCTGCCAGATGACTCTTCCTTATCCTCCTTATAAGATCAGCTTATACCAACTTCCTTTGTGAAGTAGTTCCCAAATATCATTCCCAGCCTAGGCAGAACTGATCCTTCTTTTCTCTGTTTCCATAATGTCTTTACATCTTCATTTAGGGCATGACAATCCATTGTCATTGCTCGTGAGCTTCCTGAAGGTGGGGCCTCTTTAGCTTCTGTCTATATCTCATTCTGAACAGGTAGGGGGAGGGGCTGAGGAGACCATATGTATATAGATGGTATGTATATATTTTATACATATATATACATATATACATTTATACATGCATATAGATGTATATACATATAGATGTATAGATGTAGATCTATATATACTTATAGATGTATAGATGTATATACATATAGATGTATATGTATCAATTCCCTTTTGTCAGTAAAAAAGGAAAAGACCCTTATAGATCACTTGATCCAAGATTCACTTATGACTTTTCAGCATTTTGCAGCAGCCCAACTAATGGTCATTCTTGAAAGACTGAAGTATTGGGAGTCTCTAGGAAAGACAAGTCCCATCACTTCATGGCTAATAGAAGGGGGAAAAGTAGAAACTGTGTCAGATTTTCATTTCTTGGGCTCCAAGTGACAGTGACTGCAGCCATGAAATTAAAAGACTCTTGCTCCTTGGAAAAAAAGCTATGACAAACCTAGACAGTGTATTAAAAAGCAGAGACATTAATTTGCTGATAAAGGTCCATCTAGTCAAAGCTGTGGTTTTTCCAGTAGTCATGTATGGATGTGAGAGCTGGATTGTAAATAAAGCTGAGCACTAAAGAATCGATGCCTTTGAATTGTGCTGCAGAAGACTCTTGAGAGTCTCTTGGACTGCAGGGAGATCAAACCAGTCAATCCTAAAGGAAATCAGTCTCTCTGATTTTGAGAACAAAACGATCAATACTGACACAGTCTAATGATTAACATTATTTTATTCAGATATTTTGTCTTCTAATTTAGAGGCTCATTTTGAGAATTAATTATAAAAAATAGTCTTATATTTATTTTCATACAGTTTTCTATGTTTGAACCTTTAGCTGAGAGAGGTTTTTCAGACAACTAAACCTGGTGAAGTTCCTCGTCCTGGGGTATTTTATTTGTCTGATTTGTTTTACTTGTATTGATTTCTCTCCTATGCCGCTTGGCACCTTGTCGACCCTGATGTTTATATTTACTCACTGGGCCTCATTTCACGGACAGCCACATTTCAGGAATTATGCGTTTTGTGCAAAAGGGTAATTCTCTTTTATCCCCCCACGGTCACTATGTTTAAGCTCATGAAGTTCTCTTTGAAGTCAGTGTGAGTCTCACACTTGGAATCAAGATACCACTGAGGAAGAGGAATCAAACTTACAGGAAACTCACTTAAAAACCCAAGCTTCTTATGCACCTGGTCCTAGTAAAATACAAACTAAAGGATTTCTTTACTATTTTCCTGTTATTTTAAACTAATCTTGATCTTAACTCTTTAAAGAGTTAAAAAAAACCTAACTGGTTATTTTGCAGTTATGCACATGGCAACCGAGATCCACTGAGCTAACACGATCTCATCTGCACTCACAGCCTATGGAGGAATCAAATTATTGATGTGTTTCTAAACTGCAGTGAATCTTAGATTGATTGTGAAAGTGAAAGTGTTAGTGACTTAGTCGTGTCCAACTGTTTGTGACCCACCAGGCTCCTCTGTTCATGGAATTCTCTAAACAAGAATATTGGAGTGGGTTGTCATGTCCTGCTCAAGGATATCTTCCCAACCCAGGGATCAAACCCCACTCCCTTGCATTGCTGGACTGCTTGGTGGCTCAGATGGGAAAGACTCATCCTGCAATGCAGGAGACGCAGGTTCAATCCCTGGGTTGGGAAGATCCCCTGAAGAAGGAAATGGCAACTCACTCCAATATTCCTGTGTGGAGAATTTCATGGACAGAGGAGCCTGGTGGGCTACAGTCCATGGGGGTGCAAAGAGTCAGACACGACTGAGTGACCAACACTTTCACTTTCACTCTTGCATTGCAGGCAGATTCTTGACCATCTGAACGATCAGAGAAGCCCTTAGATTGATTATGGCCCCAACTGACCTTCCTCAGTTCTCAGATCCCTGCTTAGCCTCCCCCAACCCCAGCATATCTTTCTCCTTTCCTTCTCTAGCTCATCCCCAGGGTCCTACCACAGCTCTTCTCATCACACTATAGGTCAGCACTTTCTACACTGTTTCATCACAGAAGATGTAAAAAAAAAAAATTATGGTACACAAGCAGCACAGAATGAATCAACTGATTGATGAATCTCTGCAAGAAATGATCAGCATTCAGTCACATCCTTTTATAAACTGACAAATGACTTCATTAAATTGGATCCTTATATCAGGTGCATTTTCATGTTTCTTCCTGTATTCTGCTTTCATTGCAGCACAATGTGAAATTTCACTTCTCATGGGCATAATAAACAGAAAATAGAACATGGACTTTTTTTGTTGTCCATTTGCTTGTTTGGGAAAATAAAGACCTTGTCTTCTCTTTGAAGTCCTCAGTCTTTTTATTTCTTTGATTTAGCCACCACCAGAGAAATTCACCTCTTCTTTTTATTAATGCTTCCATTTTCAGCAAGAGATCCATAAGGAGTAAGTTTATGTACAAGTAACATTTAATATGCAATAAGGACTGAATAACAAGCATCACAAATCCATGTTGAACTTATCAGATGCAGACCAACGGTCATTACAGATGAGATGTATTAATGGTGGTAAATACTGTCTGTGCTTCCCTCTCATTCACGTATCCAGTGGACTCTGCATGCTAGTTCCTGGCATTCCCAGTACAGCACAAATTCCACACAGACTCATTATTGCATAGTAACAATGACTATGTACAGAATTTAGTGTTTTCCTTATGTACACTGCAGCTTAGATTAAAAAGTCCATAAGGTTATTATTCTTACTATAGTACACTCATTAAAATCTTCAGGAACCCAGGGTTCCACAGAATGTAGTTTGAAAAGCATTGCCCTGTACACTTACATTCATTTACATAATTTCAATTATTACTGGCCAAGCCATAAACCTAACATCCTCCAGGAAATTTTCCTTGATATTGCTAATTTGAATAGTACTCCAGTTTGCATTTCTGCAGCTCCTGGCAGTGCTCAGTGGGTACAGGAGGAAGAAATGATGGAAGGGAGGGATGAAGTGGGGAATCTTACTAATTCTTATGGCATTTGTGTAAATTTGACCTTTGTAGTGAAAGGGGCACAGGGGAAAGTTAACAAAATCATTTAACATAAAATTCCTTGTTAAAATCATACATGGATGTATTTTAAATTATTAATGTCAAGGGTAGAGTTAAAACGTGTTTCTCAGTAAGATTTTGTAAGTAGGAAATGTATTTTTGTTAAGAAATATACTCTGAAACTACAAAAAATGGTTACAGAACACTAAGATGGAGTCTAGACATGCTCTTTTGCTACACTTAAACTTTTGTAAATTTTCAATTTCTGAGTTCTTCCTCATTCTTGGGCTTTATTTTCCCTAGTATCAAGCTTCTAGTCTGCTCTGTTAAGAGGTGTGGGCTTAGGAGGGTGAGTGTAATTTATTATGCCATGGCATTGGCATCTTATTGTCAATTTTGGTCATTTCCGATTATCTGTTCTACCTCTGCCTGCTTTGGGGACTAAATAAAACCTAGAGTTGTTCTCTGGATCGTAAAGAATCTATAATTTCTACCCATGGAGCTGATTATTTTACAAGATAGCAGGTAAGTCATTTTGACATAGCTGCTGCTAATTACCTTGCTATTGTTCTGTGACTAAGGTCACATACCCCTTCTTGATGAGGATGGATAGTCCTGCTACGGGAGTACTTTTACAGGTTAGCTTTCAGGTAAACTGATGTTTTTCTCTTTTCTTTCTGCCTGCCTTGGTGTTCTGATAGTTTCAAAGAAAGCATGGAGAAATCATCGTACTCCGACTGGCTAATAAATAACAGTGTTGCCGAGCTGGTGGCTTCCACGGGCCTTCCAGTGAACATCAGTGATGCCTACCAGGATCCCCGCTTTGATGCCGAGGTAAGAGGAGGCCTCTGGTTGCATTTTTTAAGGTTCCATTGTCACCCTGTGGATGCATTGCTGGTCAGAGCCCCAAAGGAACATCATACAAATCCACAGCAACTCCTGAGTTGGCTGGCAGTTCTTCTGAATCTTTCCCCTGTGATCTGACTTTCCGCATCTCCTACTGCTGACTGACAGGCTTCTCCCATGGCTCAGTTGGTAAAGAATCCCCCCTGCAATGCAGGAGACCCTGGCTGGATTCCTGGGTGGGGAAGATCTGCTGGAGAAGGGATAGGCTACCCACTCCAGTATTCTTGGACTTCCCTTGTGGCTCAGCTGGTAAAGAATCCACCTGCAATGCGGGAGACCTGGGTTCGATCCTGGGTTGCGAAGATCTTCTGGAGAAGGGAAAGGCTACCACTCTAGTATTCCAGTCTGGAGAATTCCATGGGCTGTAACGTCAATGGGGCTGCAAAGAGTTGGACACAACTGAGTATAAATGCTGTGTTTGACAGGAAGTCTTCCTCTCTCTACACGGATTTGTGGCAAAATGGCTATATAGTCTCACTGAATATATCTGACCCTGCCACTTGCATTGTTCCATTTACACACCTCTGAAGTTTATATAATTGAATTATACTGTATGTATTCTTCTGTCTCTTGCTTTTTCATTCAGTGTATGTTCCTGAGTCACATGCGTGTGTAATTCATTCATTTATTTTCACTGCTGCAAAGTATTCCATTGTATGAATCAGCATCATTTTTAAAATCAATTTTGGTGTTGAAAGACATTCGGATTCAGTGTTTCACTGTTACACCCATAACTGCCAAAGACACTCTTAACTCTCTAGCATGATGCTCTTTTACTATGGGGAACATTTTATATTAAACATGTAATTAAACCCATGCAATTAAATATATTCAGGCACATTTTGTGTTAAACATAGTTTATGAACATATGTTCATATATGAACATATGTTTATAAACATAGTTAATGAAATGGTTAGTAATAAAAATGTGTATATAACATAATTATTTCCCAATAGATATTAAAACAGCTACTGTATTTTAGAAGATTGCTCCCAAGAAATAGTATGTTGGCTTCTGTTACTGTTTAATGTTAATTATGTAGGCGTGCATTGCACTGATGTGCAGAAAATATTAAGACAATGTAGATTCTGACTTGGCAGAAGTTTAATTCTAAGGTAGTATAGGGTATCATATAGATAAATTTACATGAACTCATAAAATGTCTCCACATGTGTGTGTGTGTGGTGTGTGTTCAATAAATTAAGAGATTAAATTACTAGGTTACCAAGCTAAGGTCTGAATAGTAGCAGGAGTGTTATGGTGATGATGGTGATGAGATATGTGTTCCAGGCAAGGCTGAGAGCATGAGGAGTCGGGGAACAGAGATGAGTTAACGTTGCTGGAGAGCTGGGTAGATGAGGTGGGAGGAGAAAGCAGGGGCCAGATCATCCAGAGGCTTTGAAAGACATGTTAAGAAGTTTGAGTATTTATCATGGGCAAGAGGGAATCAGTAGTCAAGTTATCAGTGAGGGAGAAGAAGGAGTTATACTTTAGAAAGATCACAGTGGCTGAAGAACAGAGACTAGATCAGTAATGATAACTGAACATTTAATTGGAAGTGAGATTTAGTCCTGGTTTCTCAGACTCCAAAGCCCAGCCTCTGAATCCTGCCCTATGCTGTCCCCAGTGTCTGGAGTGGGATGCAACAATGGTGGGGAGGTTGGAATCCAGGTCAAATTGATAACTTCATTCAGATCTTTGCAAATCTCTTCATGGGCTTCCCAGGTGGCACAGTGGTAAGGAATCCACCTACCAATGCAGGAGCAGCAGATGTGGGTTCGATCCCTGGCAACCCACTCCAGGCTTTTTGCCTGGGAAATCCCATGGACAGAGAAGCCTGACAGGCTACAGTCCATGGGGTCGCAAAGAGTCAGACACGCCTGAGCGACCGAACATGGCATGGAAAGCTTACATTCCTGAGATTTACGTTTCTACAGCTGCCTAGAATTCTCTTCCCCCAGGTCACATCTTCTATGTATTTCCTGTTTATTCTCCAGCATCTAACTGAGATGCCTGTATCTTGGACATCCTTTCGTGAGCTCCGTCTGGGTTGGGTGTCTCCGGTGTGCTCCCTTAACTACCCCAATGCTAACCACCCCCTGGCTATCTTCAGTTTCTGATATATTATTTCTCAGCTTTGAGGTACCTTCCTTGGGAAAGTAGACAGTCCAGAACTTCTTTAGTTCTCCTCCTATAAAGTAAGACACCACCAACCTTGGTTCTGTGACTAGCAGAGCAGAAATGATTTAAAGGTATCAATATTTGTGTTAACATTATGATTGGGTTAGGACTGATGTTATAAAGTTTTGCCTTTTGCTATGCTTCTTTCCTTCTTGATTTCAGAATGTTGAACAGCAGATTTGTAAACACACAGTTTTATGAAGAAATGATCTCAGTATTCTATTATTAACATCAGTAGTACTGAACAAACTGAAAGGCTCACTACAGAAAAAAAACAAACATTAATTGCCCATTCATTGTTACGAAGTCAACATATTAGATAGTTAAGAGATGATGGTCAATTCCTACCCTTTGGGGTATAATTTGTTATAGTGCCGAATTTGGCATGGATTGCTCTTATTCTGCTCTTAGCTTTGGGCCAAAAGTCAAATTCTGGGGAAGCAAAAAGAGTCAACATATTTACACCATTTAAAAGTTGGTTCATAAGACATATGCAAAAGTATAATAATATATATATTATATATAATAATATATAATATATATATATAATAAAACATGGTGAATCTTCCCAATAAAACATGATAGAGTAAATGCCCACCACCCAATTTAAGAGAAAGAACAATAATTGCTTCTGAATCCTTGTATTGATCTTCCTTAATTCAGTCTCCTTTATTCCCCACACAGAGGTAAACCACTATCCTAATTTGAATTTAACCATTTTTTGCTTTTCATTGGGGCTTCCTGGTGGCTCAGTGATAAAAATCTGCCTGCCAAAGCAGGAGACATGAGTTCAATCTCTGGGTCGGAAAGATCCCCTGGAGAAGGAAATAGCAACCCACTCCAGTATTCTTGCCTGGGAAATCCCATGGACAGAGGAGCTTGGCAGGCTACAGTCCATGGGGTTACAAAAGAGTTGGACACGACTTAACAACTAAACAACAATAGTTTCATCATGTAGGTTTGAGTCCCTGCCAAAATATATTACATTTTTTACATGTTATTACATGTTTTGCACATCTCTGAACTTTATATGAATTGAATTATGCTATACATCTTCTTCTGTGGCTTGCCTTTTCAAATTCAATATAAATTCCTGAATCATGAGCACTTGTAATTCGTTCATTGGTTTTCAGTGCTGGTATGTATTCCACTGTATGAATGTGTCACTTCATCCACTATAGTGTCGATGGACATTTACATGATGTTACATGCATAACATAACTACATTCTTAGTCATTCCTGTCCATACGTCCAAGTACACGTGTTCAAGAGCTCTTCTACCATCTGTACCTAGGAGAGTGACCTGCTCAGTCACAGGCTACAAGAATCTTCACCTTTAACTGGAGAATAAAAAGTTCTTGCCCAATCATTGCCCTTTTTCCTTATGAAAAACAGCATATGTAGCAAAAAAACAAGTAGTCTCTTAAGAATACTTCTTGCTAATACAATACAATGAGCCTGAATATCCCATATCCTTATATCTACAGGCAGACTCTTACCACATCTCTTCCTGATTAGTGATTTACTGTCAATTTACATTATCCTCATCACTTACAGCCCATTCCAATATAAGACAGCCTGCTCGCTCATTTACAAAAAAGAACAATTTGGGCTCTTGAGCAGAAATGCAACAGTTAGTTCTATGGGATTGAACATAAAAATTTCATGCCCTGATCCAGTAGTTAGAGGCAATGGTGTTTGAAGACAGTAAACTGTGGTAGGTTAAGCAGTGACCATTTTGTGAAATCACTTTCTTCCCTATGATAAAATAAAGCAAGTATCTAGACCATCATTATTTCTTGGCCTTCCCCCTAAAATGCTTTCAATCTGCCACACAACTAATACCAATTTTAAATGCAAGCCTGGCAATATATCGTAATTTCTACATGTTCTCTTTGAGTGGTGCTGAAATTTAAAATTTCCTTATGTTTCCTTTCTCATGTGGAGGAGGAAAATTGGAAAAGAATTAATCAATGCAGATAGAGGTGAAAGAGAGTGGGAATTCTGCCTAAATAGATTGTCCTACAAATGTATGTGTATGGTGTGTGTATCATGTATCATACTAGGAAAAGAAAATTATTTATCTGCTTAGGCTTCCTCCCTTTTCAAGGATATTTTGCTTCACTGATGGGTGTCAACTGCTTGTGTTAATGATGAATGAAACAGACTCCAGACTGAGTCACCGCAGTGCTCTCCCCCAAGAGGCTAAGAAGCATGAACCTTCTCCTTTCAAAGCCTGATGTAAGATGGTATAGATCATAACATAAAGACCATCAACTCAGATAATTTCTTTCACTAACATAGTATTTTCCTCAAGGTAAAAATATACTAAGGCAAAATGGAATTGTTTCACCCTTTCACTAAAGGTGAAAGGATTGTCTTAGAGGCAGAGGGTACCTTTTAGAACTGTGCCGTTTTCTTTCAAAGGTTTGAGTCCTCTCTTCTTAAGTCTGGTACATGGGTCCATAGTTTTTCCCAGTAATTATAAGAAGTCATTGTTTATCAGTGGTAGAATATAAGGAAATCATTTTTTAAATATAGGATTAGTGGATTATCTCTAGTAGGTATCTCCACTGGAGAAAGCGTGTGCTTTTATATTCTCTACTTTACTGACTTCCCCAAATAATTTGAAGTTGGTTAACAAAAATGATAATTTGCAGAGAGGTTTCATGGGGAATCCTTTTCAAAGAATTTCCTACTTTTTCTTACAGATTTTCTCAATATAAGTTTATTCTGAGCACTGGTA